GTGAGTGTGTGTGTCTCTGTGTGTGTCTCTGTGTGTGTCTGTGTGTGTGTGTGTGTCTGTGTCTGTGTGTCTGTGTGTGTCTGTGTGTGTGTCTGTGTGTGTGTGTGTCTGTGTGTGTGTGTCTGTGTGTGTGTCTGTGTGTGTGTGTCTCAGTGTGTGTGTCTCTCTGTGTCTCTGTGTGTGTCTCTGTGTGTGTCTCTGTGTGTGTGTGTGTCTCTGTGTGTGTCTGTGTGTGTGTGTGAGTGTGTGTGTCTCTGTGTGTGTGTGTGAGTGTGTGTGTCTCTGTGTGTGTGTGTGAGTGTGTGTGTCTCTGTGTGTGTCTGTGTGTGTGTGTGAGTGTGTGTGTCTCTGTGTGTGTGTGTGAGTGTGTGTGTCTCTGTGTGTGTGAGTGTGTGTGTCTCTGTGTGTGTCTGTGTGTGTGTGTGAGTGTGTCTGTGTCTGTGTGTCTGTGTGTGTGTCTGTGTGTGTGTGTCTGTGTGTGTGTGTGAGTGTGTGTGTCAGTGTGTCTGTGTGTGTGAGTGTGTGTGTGTCTGTGTGTGTGTGTCTGTGTGTGTGAGTGTGTGTGTGTGTCTGTGTGTGTGAGTGTGTGTGTGTGAGTGTGTGTGTGAGTGTGTGTGTGAGTGTGTGTGTGAGTGTGTCTGTGTGTGAGTGTGTGTCTGTGTGTGTGAGTGTGTCTGTGTGTGAGTGTGTGTCTGTGTGTGTGTCTGTGTGTGTGTGTGTCTGTGTGTGTGTGTCTGTGTGTGTGTGTCTGTGTGTGTGTGTCTGTGTGTGTGTGCGTGTGCAGCCCATGGGCTTGTAATTACCAACACGCTCTTCCGGCATCGGCGCATCCACACAACATCATGGATACATGCCGGGTCCAAGCAAGAACATCTGCTGGACTACATAGTGACGGACCAGCGGATGCGAACCCATGTCCTTGACACCAGGACCTACCGTGGAGCTGATCTGTCCTCTGACCATCGACTAGTCATCTGTAAGATGCGCCTGCCTTTCTTCCACTCCGGTGGTGGGTGTACACCCAGGATCCCATTCCAACCAAAAGTGGCCTGGTCTCAGTTAGCTGATGAAAGTTGCAAGCGAGAATTTCATCATCGCTTGCAGCTGGGGTTGGCATCGTCCCCCACTCCACCTGATGTCGAGGGTAAATGGGCGAGGTTTAGGACTGTGACTCATGCAGCTGCAATGGCTGCTTTGGGTACGCGGTCCAGACCTCCCCAGAAACCCTGGCTGACAGAGGAGGTGTTCAGGTTAATTGAGAAAAAGCGACAGGCCCACTCTCATCGCCTACAGCATCCCACGTCAGAGAATGAGGAGGTTTACCGCAGCCTTCGCTCGGAAGTTCGGAGAGCCGTAAGGCGTTGTAAGGATGGGTGGTGGTCGCGGGTTGCTGAGGAGATGGAGTCTGCCTCAGTGGCCCGTGATCACAAATCACTATTTAACTCCATCAAAAAAGTAACCTGCAGCGCCACACCTATTACCATCATTAGAGGAAAAAACGGTGATCCAATCTCCGACCCCCAGGAACAGGTTTGCAGATTTGCTGAGCATTTCTGTGAGGTCCTGGGGGAGGGAAATTCTCTCAGCCAGGAAAACATCATGGCACAAAGTGGGGATAACCCTGCTGAGGCTGCGGTGCCTCAAATATTGGAAGAGGTCACCCCCTGTGAGTGGCTGGCTGAGGTTCCAGCTGTTGAGGAAGTACTGAGGGCGATCCGGAGTCTGAGACCAGGGAAGGCACCGGGCAGAGATGATCTCCCAAGCGAAATGCTGAGGGAGGGTGGCGTTTGTGCACAGACTGCCCTATATGACATCATAACAACAGTCTGGACCACTGGACGGGTTCCGCAGGACTGGAAGGATGCCCTGGTGGTCCCCCTCTTTAAGAAGGGGGACCGCACAGACTGTAACAACTACAGGGGCATCTCACTCCTCAGTGTGCCGGGTAAGGTCCTGGCAAGGATTATTCAACATCGCCTTGCTAGGCACGCTGAGGAGGGGCTTGCGGAGCCCCAATGCGGTTTCAGGAAAGGGCGGTCCTGCACAGATGCCATATTTTCTGTCCGTCTGCTACAGCAGAGGTGTAGGGAATTCCAAAAAGACCTACATCTCTGCTTTATTGACCTGGTCAAGGCCTATGATACCATCAGTAGGACTGGACTCTGGGTTGTTCTTCGTGCTTTCGGAGTCCCTGACCCTCTGCTCACGATCATTAAGGACCTTCATGATGGTGAGCGGGCCCGGGTAAAACTACGTGGCCGGGAGTCGGAGCCTTTCCCTGTACACCTTGGGGTGCGACAGGGATGTCCTCTGGCTCCCACATTATTTAACATCTATTTTGACCGCGTAGTTCGTGAAGCCTTCAATAGCTGTACCGGGGGAATTTCCGTTTGGTACAGATATAATGGGAGGCTGATCGACGCCCGGGTGCGATCAAGGGATGGCTCCCTATTGGTCAACCACGTTATGTATGCCGATGATTTGGTAATAGCTGCTCATTCAGAAGAGGAGTTGGAGGCGCTGCTGCTGAGACTGGAGCGTGCCACTAAGAGGTGGGGCCTTACCATCAGCCCCACCAAAACCAAGCACCTGCCTGGGTATTTTGTACCATCGGACACTCCACCCCCACAACTCCCAATTGGTGATGGGGCAGTTGTGGAGAGAGTGGAGAGTTTCCCATACCTGGGCAGTGTGCTTATGACCGGCTCCAGTCTATCAGCAGAGGTCTCACTCCGAATCAGTCGAGCGGCAATATCTTTTCATCGGTTGCGTAACGCTGTGTGGAAGCTACCTGGTCTGTCGCTCCGCACGAAGCTTCAGGTCTTCTCGGCCACGGTCATTCCCTCCCTTCTCTACGCTTGCGAGACGTGGACCCCCCTGGTGGAGCATCTTCGCCGGTTGGAAACATTTAGGCTGGCCTGCCTACGATCCATCCTGGGTTTAACCAGGCTGGATTGTGTGAGGAGCTCACAAATCCTTGAAAGATCTGGGCAAAGTCCCATCAGTGAGCTCCTCCGGCAGGCAAGGCTGCGTTGGCTGGGTCATGTAGCCCGCATGCCCAGCCACCGCATGCCTAAACAGCTTTTGTTCGGCCGGATCGAGGGGGCTAGACGGGCGCGGCACGGGCTGGAGAAGAGATGGAGTGATGTGGTACAGGAGGACGTGGAGCTGAGTGGACTTGCCGATGACTGGTACCAGCGGTGTCAAGATCGGCCTCAGTGGAGGAGGCTCGTGAAGGACGCTACTGGGCAGTTGGAGGCAGTCGCCCTCCAACAACAACGGAGGGCGGAGGAGCGACGCTCACAACAACGAGCGGAGCGCCGGGTGGCTAAAGCACAGCAAGTTGGCACAGTAGGGGGCACAGGTGGTGCATCAGCCAGTCATCTCGGTCATCTCGGTCAGTCGACCAGTGGCACCTGGGTCTGCCCCGTGACCTCCTGCCAGCGGGCTTTCGACACTTCACGTGGCCTCAAGGTGCACTTGGCCTGGCACAAGCATCGTGGTGACGTCACCGCCACTTAGTGGCGAATGGCGGTTGTTGTTGTTGTTGTGTGCGTGTGTGTGTCTGTGTGTGTGTCTGTGTGTCTGTGTGTGTGAGTGTGTGTGTGTGTGTGTGTGTGTGTGTCTGTGTGTGTGTGTGAGTGTGTGTGTCTCTGTGTGTGTCTGTGTGTGTGTCTGTGTGTGTCTCACTGTGTGTGTGTCTCACTGTGAGTGTGTCTGTGTCTGTGTGTCTGTGTGTGTGTCTGTGTGTGTGTGTCTGTGTGTGTGTGTGAGTGTGTGTGTCAGTGTGTCTGTGTGTGTGAGTGTGTGTGTGTCTGTGTGTGTGTGTCTGTGTGTGTGTGTGTGTGTCTGTGTGTGTGAGTGTGTGTGTGTGAGTGTGTGTGAGTGTGTGTGTGAGTGTGTGTGTGAGTGTGTCTGTGTGTGAGTGTGTGTCTGTGTGTGTGAGTGTGTCTGTGTGTGAGTGTGTGTCTGTGTGTGTGTCTGTGTGTGTGTGTGTGTGTCTGTGTGTGTGTGTCTGTGTGTGTGTGTCTGTGTGTGTGTGCGTGTGTGTGTCTGTGTGTGTGTCTGTGTGTGTGAGTGTGTGTGTGTGAGTGTGTGTGTGTGTCTGTGTGTGTGTGTCTGTGTGTGTGTGTCTGTGTGTGTGTGTGTGTCTGTGTCTGTGTGTGAGTGTGTGTCTGTGTGTGTGTCTGTGTGTGTGTGACTGTGTGTGAGTGTCTGTGTGTGTGCACCTGATGAGGTTTGTGCGTCTCGTGTCTCCGCGCTTCGTGCGGCCACAGACGGCGCACGAAGCGTCGCCACCGCCGCTCGCCGGCTCCACGAAGAGACGCCGACCCACGCGGTACACAAACGTGCCTGCCGGAGACACACGCAGACACACACAAAGACACGCAGAGACACAGAGACACACAGAGACACACAGAGACCCACACGGTACACAAACGTGCCTGCCGGAGACACACGCAGACACACACAAAGACACGCAGAGACACAGAGACACACAGAGACACACAGAGACCCACACGGTACACAAACGTGCCTGCCGGAGACACACGCAGACACACACAAAGACACGCAGAGACACAGAGACACACAGAGACACACAGAGACCCACACGGTACACAAACGTGCCTGCCGGAGACACACGCAGACACACACAAAGACACGCAGAGACACAGAGACACACAGAGACACACAGAGACCCACACGGTACACAAACGTGCCTGCCGGAGACACACGCAGACACACACAAAGACACGCAGAGACACAGAGACACACAGAGACACACAGAGACCCACACGGTACACAAACGTGCCTGCCGGAGACACACGCAGACACACACAAAGACACGCAGACACACAGAGACACACAGAGACACACAGAGACCCACGCGGTACACAAACGTGCCTGCCGGAGACACACGCAGACACACACAAAGACACGCAGAGACACAGAGACACACAGAGACACACAGAGACCCACACGGTACACAAACATGCCTGCCGGAGACACGCAGACACACACAAAGACACGCAGAGACACAGAGACACACAGAGACACACAGAGACCCACACGGTACACAAACGTGCCTGCCGGAGACACACGCAGACACACACAAAGACACGCAGACACACAGAGACACACAGAGACACACAGAGACCCACACGGTACACAAACGTGCCTGCCGGAGACACACGCAGACACACACAAAGACACGCAGACACACAGAGACACACAGAGACACACAGAGACCCACGCGGTACACAAACGTGCCTGCCGGAGACACAGGCAGACACACACAAAGACACGCAGACACACAGAGACACACAGAGACACACAGAGACCCACACGGTACACAAACGTGCCTGCCGGAGACACACGCAGACACACGCAGACACACACAGACACACAAAGACACGCAGAGACACAGAGACACACAGAGACACACACACACAGATACACACACACAGACACACACACAGAGACCCACACGGTACACAAACGTGCCTGTCGGAGACACACGCAGACACACACAAAGACACGCAGACACACAGAGACACACACAGAGACACACACACAGACACACACACACAGACACACACACAGAGACCCACACGGTACACAAACGTGCCTGCCGGAGACACACGCAGACACACAGAGACACACAGAGACACAGAGACACACAGAGACACACACACACAGATACACACACACAGACACACACAGATACACACACACACAGAGACACACACAGATACACACAGAAACACACACATAGACACAGAGACACACACAGAGACACACAGAGAGACACACAGAGAGACACACACAGACACATAGAGAGACACACACACACAGACCCACACACAGAGACCCACACACAGACACACACACAGAGACACACACAGAGACACACACAGAGACACACACAGACACAACACAGACACACACAGACACACAGAGACACACACAGAGACACACACACAGACACAACACAGACACACACAGACACACAGAGACACACACAGACACACACAAAGATACACACATACAGAGATACACACATACAGAGACACGACGACGCAGCATAAGCATCACCAACATCACCACCACCGAGTGAGCGAGTGAGTGGCTGGGTGGGTGAGTGGATGGGTAGGTGGATGAGTGAGTGGCTGAGTGAGTGGCTGTACGAGTGAATGAGTAAGTGGCTGAGTGAGTGAGTGGCTAAGTGAGTGGCTGAGTGAGTGAGTGGCTGAGTGAGTGAGTGACTGAGTGAGTGGCTGAGTGAGTGAGTGAGTGGCTGAGTGAGTGAATGAGTGGCTGAGTGAGTGAATGAGTGGCTGAGTGAGTGGCTGAGTGAGTGAGTGGCTGAGTGAGTAAGTGGCTGAGTGAGTGTCTGAGTGAGTGTGTGAGTGGCTGAGTGAGTGAATGAGTGGCTGAGTGAGTGGCTGAGTGAGTGTGTGAGTGGCTGAGTGAGTGAATGAGTGGCTGAGTGAGTGGCTGAGTGAGTGTCTGAGTGAGTGTGTGAGTGGCTGAGTGAGTGGCTGAGTGTGTGTCTGTGTGAGTGGCTGAGTGAGTGTGTGAGTGGCTGAGTGAGTGGCTGAGTGTGTGTCTGTGTGAGTGGCTGAGTGAGTGTGTGAGTGGCTGTGTGAGTGGCTGAGTGAGTGGCTGAGTGAGTGGCTGAGTGAGTGAATTAGTGGCTGAGTGAGTGGCTGAGTGAGTGAATGAGTGGCTGAGTGAGTGAGTGAGTGTGTGAGTGGCTGAGTGAGTGGCTGAGTGTGTGGCTGTACGAGTGAATGAGTAAGTGGCTGAGTGAGTGAGTGGCTAAGTGAGTGGCTGAGTGAGTGAGTGAATGAGTGAGTGGCTGAGTGAGTGAGTGACTGAGTGAGTGGCTGAGTGAGTGAGTGGCTGAGTGAGTGAATGAGTGGCTGAGTGAGTGGCTGAGTGAGTGAGTGGCTGAGTGAGTGTCTGAGTGAGTGTGTGAGTGGCTGAGTGAGTGAATGAGTGGCTGAGTGAGTGGCTGAGTGAGTGTGTGAGTGGCTGAGTGAGTGAATGAGTGGCTGAGTGAGTGGCTGAGTGAGTGTGTGAGTGGCTGAGTGAGTGGCTGAGTGTGTGTCTGTGTGAGTGGCTGAGTGAGTGTGTGAGTGGCTGAGTGAGTGGCTGAGTGTGTGTCTATGTGAGTGGCTGAGTGAGTGTGTGAGTGGCTGAGTGAGTGGCTGAGAGTGTGTCTGTGTGAGTGGCTGAGTGAGTGGCTGAGTGAGTGAATGAGTGGCTGAGTGAGTGGCTGAGTGAGTGAATGAGTGGCTGAGTGAGTGGCTGAGTGAGTGTCTGAGTGAGTGTGTGAGTGGCTGAGTGAGTGGCTGAGTGTGTGTCTGTGTGAGTGGCTGAGTGAGTGTGTGAGTGGCTGAGTGAGTGGCTGAGTGTGTGTCTGTGTGAGTGGCTGAGTGAGTGGCTGAGTGAGTGGCTGAGTGAGTGTGTGAGTGGCTGAGTGAGTGGCTGAGAGTGTGTCTGTGTGAGTGGCTGAGTGAGTGTGTGAGTGGCTGTGTGAGTGGCTGAGTGAGTGGCTGAGTGAGTGGCTGTGTGACTGAGTGAGTGAGTGGCTGAGTGAGTGAATGAGTGTCTGAGTGAGTGAGTGTCTGAGTGAGTGAATAAGTGAGTGAATGAGTGAGTGGCTGAGTGAGTGGCTGAGTGAGTGACTGAGCGAGCGAGTGGCTGAATGAGCGAGTAAGCGGGCGAGCGAGCGAGCGAGTAAGCGTGGCACCTACACTGATGCCCATCCACCGCATTTCTCCAACCACCACCACCACCGCCACCACCGTCACCACCACCGTCACCACCACCACCACCGTCATCACCACCATCATCATCACCACTGCAGCACTCTTGACGATGAGCCTTGCGAAATTCCAGCAGCCTTGCCCAGCGGAATTCCCAGTCAGCGCCATAGGCCTCTTCTTCCACACCCTCACCGCCACCACCGCCACCACCACCACCGCCACCACCGCCACCACCACCACCACCACCGCCACCACCGCCACCACCACCACCACCGCCCAGTAACCCGGGCGGTGAAGGAGGTGGGTGGATGAGGGTGGGTGGCGAGTTCGAGGCTTTGGTGCGACAGAACAGGGTGGAGGAATGAGACGGGGGGAGAGGGGTGAGTTGGTGGGCGAGTTGGTGGGCGAGTGGGTGGGCGAGTGGGTGGGCGAGTGGGTGGGCGAGTGGGTGGGCGAGTGGGTGGGCGAGTGGGTGGGTGGTTGAATGATTGCGTGAGTGGGTCTCTGTGGGTCTCTGTGGGTATCTGTGGGTATCTGTGGGTATCTGTGGGTCTCCGTGAGTCTCCGTGACCCTCCGTGAGTCTCCGTGGGTCTCTGCGAGTCTCTGTGAGTCTCTGTGGGTCTCTGTGAGTCTCTGTGTGTCTCTGTGGGTCTCTATGGGTCTCTGTGAGTCTCTGTGGGTCTCTGTGGGTCTCTGTGGGGTCTCTGTGGGTCTCTGTGAGTCTCTGTGGGTCTCTGTGTGTCTCTGTGTGTCTCTGTGGGTCTCTGTGGGTCTCTGTGAGTCTCTGTGAGTCTCTGTGGGTCTCTGTGAGTCTCTGCGCGTCTCTGCGGGTCTCTGCGGGTCTCTGCGGGTCTCTGTGAGTCTCTGTGGGTCTCTGCGAGTCTCTGTGAGTCTCTGTGGGTCTCTATGGGTCTCTGTGTGTCTCTATGGGTCTCTGTGGGTCTCTGTGGGTCTCTGTGGGGTCTCTGTGGGTCTCTGTGAGTCTCTGTGGGTCTCTGTGTGTCTCTGTGGGTCTCTGTGGGTCTCTGTGGGTCTCTGTGGGTCTCTGTGAGTCTCTGTGGGTCTCTGTGTGTCTCTGTGGGTCTCTGTGTGGTTTCTGTGGGTCTCTGTGGGTCTCTATGATGCTCTGTGAGTCTCTGTGAGTCTCTGTGAGTCTCTCTGTGGTCTCTGTGTGGTCTCTGTGTGGTCTCTGTGAGTCTCTGTGTGGTCTCTACGGGTCTCTGTGAGTCTCTATGAAGACTGCGAGTCTCTGCGGGTCTCTATGAGTCTCTGTGGGTCTCTGTGAATCTCTGTGGGTCTCTGTGGGTCTCTGTGGGTCTCTGTGAGTCTCTGTGGGTCTCTGTGAGTCTCTGTGGGTCTCTGTGGGTCTCTGTGAGTCTCTGTGGGTCTCTGTGGGTCTCTGTGAGTCTCTGCGCGTCTCTGCGGGTCTCTGTGGGTCTCTGTGAGTCTCTGCGGGTCTCTGCGGGTCTCTGCGAGTCTCTGTGAGTCTCTGCGAGTCTCTGTGAGTCTCTGTGGGTCTCTGTGAGTCTCTGCAGGTCTCTGTGAGTCTCTGTGAGTCTCTGTGGGTCTCTGTGAGTCTCTGTGAGTCTCTGCGGGTCTCTGTGAGTCTCTGCGGGTCTCTGTGAGTCTCTGCGGGTCTCTGTGGGTCTCTGTGAGTCTCTGCGGGTCTCTGCGGGTCTCTGTGGGTCTCTATGATGCTCTGTGAGTCTCTGTGAGTCTCTGTGTGTCTCTGCGTGTCTCTGTGTGGTCTCTATGAGTCTCTGTGAGTCTCTACGGGTCTCTGTGGGTCTCTGTGAGTCTCTATGGGTCTCTATGAGTCTCTGTGAGTCTCTACGGGTCTCTGTGGGTCTCTGTGAGTCTCTATGATGCTCTGTGAGTCTCTGTGAGGCTCTCTGAGTCTCTGTGAGTCTCTGTGAGTCTCTATGATGCTCTGTGAGTCTCTGTGGGTCTCTGTGAGTCTCTGTGAGTCTCTGCGAGTCTCTGTGGGTCTCTACGAGTCTCTGTGGGTCTCTACGAGTCTCTGTGAGTCTCTGTGGGTCTCTGTGGGTCTCTGTGTGGTCTCTGTGAGTCTCTGTGGGTCTCTATGAGTCTCTGTGGGTCTCTGCGGGTCTCTGCGAGTCTCTGTGAGTCTCTGTGGGTCTCTATGAGTCTCTGTGGGTCTCTGTGGGTCTCTACGAGTCTCTGTGAGTCTCTGTGGGTCTCTACGAGTCTCTGTGGGTCTCTGTGGGTCTCTGCGAGTCTCTGTGAGTCTCTGTGGATCTCTGTGGGTCTCTGTGAGTCTCTGTGGGTCTCTGTGTGGTCTCTATGATGCTCTGTGGGTCTCTGTGTGTCTCTGTGGGTCTCTGTGAGTCTCTGTGAGTCTCTGTAGGTCTCTGTGGGTCTCTGTGGGTCTCTGCGGGTCTCTGTGGGTCTCTGTGGGTCTCTATGGGTCTCTGTGAGTCTCTGTGGGTCTCTGTGTGTCTCTGTGGGTCTCTGTGGGTCTCTGTGGGTCTCTGTGTGGTTTCTGTGGGTCTCTGTGGGTCTCTATGATGCTCTGTGAGTCTCTGTGAGTCTCTGTAGGTCTCTGTGGGTCTCTGTGGGTCTCTGCGGGTCTCTGTGGGTCTCTGTGGGTCTCTATGGGTCTCTGTGAGTCTCTGTGAGTCTCTGTGTGGTCTCTACGGGTCTCTGTGAGTCTCTATGAAGACTGCGAGTCTCTGCGGGTCTCTATGAGTCTCTGTGGGTCTCTGTGAATCTCTGTGGGTCTCTGTGGGTCTCTGTGGGTCTCTGTGAGTCTCTGTGGGTCTCTGTGAGTCTCTGTGGGTCTCTGTGGGTCTCTGTGAGTCTCTGTGGGTCTCTGTGGGTCTCTGTGAGTCTCTGCGCGTCTCTGCGGGTCTCTGTGGGTCTCTGTGAGTCTCTGCGGGTCTCTGCGGGTCTCTGCGAGTCTCTGTGAGTCTCTGCGAGTCTCTGTGAGTCTCTGCGAGTCTCTGCAGGTCTCTGTGGGTCTCTGTGAGTCTCTGTGAGTCTCTGTGGGTCTCTGTGAGTCTCTGCGGGTCTCTGTGAGTCTCTGTGAGTCTCTGTGGGTCTCTGTGAGTCTCTGTGAGTCTCTGCGGGTCTCTGTGAGTCTCTGCGGGTCTCTGTGAGTCTCTGCGGGTCTCTGTGGGTCTCTGTGAGTCTCTGCGGGTCTCTGCGGGTCTCTGTGGGTCTCTATGATGCTCTGTGAGTCTCTGCGGGTCTCTGTGAGTCTCTACGGGTCTCTGTGGGTCTCTACGGGTCTCTGTGGGTCTCTGTGAGTCTCTACGAGTCTCTCTGAGTCTCTGTGAGTCTCTATGGGTCTCTATGAGTCTCTGTGAGTCTCTACGGGTCTCTGTGGGTCTCTGTGAGTCTCTATGATGCTCTGTGAGTCTCTGTGAGTCTCTGTGAGGCTCTCTGAGTCTCTGTGAGTCTCTGTGAGTCTCTATGATGCTCTGTGAGTCTCTGTGGGTCTCTGTGAGTCTCTGTGAGTCTCTATGAGTCTCTGTGGGTCTCTGCGGGTCTCTGTGAGCCTCTGTGAGTCTCTGCGAGTCTCTGTGGGTCTCTACGAGTCTCTGTGGGTCTCTACGAGTCTCTGTGAGTCTCTGTGGGTCTCTGTGGGTCTCTGTGTGGTCTCTGTGAGTCTCTGTGGGTCTCTATGAGTCTCTGTGGGTCTCTGCGGGTCTCTGTGAGTCTCTGTGGGTCTCTATGAGTCTCTGTGAGTCTCTGTGGGTCTCTACGAGTCTCTGTGAGTCTCTGTGGGTCTCTACGAGTCTCTGTGGGTCTCTGTGGGTCTCTGCGAGTCTCTGTGAGTCTCTGTGGATCTCCGTGGGTCTCTGTGAGTCTCTGTGGGTCTCTGTGGGTCTCTGTGTGGTCTCTATGATGCTCTGTGGGTCTCTGTGTGTCTCTGTGGGTCTCTGTGAGTCTCTGTGAGTCTCTGTGGGTCTCTATGAGTCTCTGTGGGTCTCTGCGGGTCTCTGTGAGTCTCTGTGGTTCTCTGTGGGTCTCTGTGAGTCTCTGTGGGTCTCTGCGAGTCTCTGTGGGTCTCTGCGGGTCTCTATGAGTCTCTGTGGGTCTCTGCGAGTCTCTGCGGGTCTCTGTGAGTCTCTGCGGGTCTCTATGATGCTTTGCGAGTCTGTGTGTCTCTATGAGTCTCTGTGAGTCTCTACGAGTCTCTACGAGTCTCTCTGAGTCTCTCTGTGTCTCTCCGAGTCTCTGTGTGTCTCTGTGTGTCTCTGTGGGTCTCTGCGGGTCTCTACGAGTCTCTGCGGGTCTCTACGAGTCTCTGTGGGTCTCTGTGGGTCTCTGTGAGTCTCTACGAGTCTCTACGAATCTCTCTGTGTCTCTCTGAGTCTCTGTGTGTCTCTGTGTGTCTCTGTGGGTCTCTGTGTGTCTCTGTGGGTCTCTGCGGGTCTCTACGAGTCTCTGCGGGTCTCTACGAGTCTCTGTGGGTCTCTGTGGGTCTCTCTGTGTCTCTCTGAGTCTCTACGAAGCTCTCCGAGTCTCTGCGCGGCAGTCCTACCACTCACCTGCGATCCGCCCACAGCCCACCAGGGGGCCCACTTCCTTTGGAGCCTCACGGAAGCCCCTCCCCCTCCCCTCGCCCCGCCCCCCCGACTCCTCCGCCATGCGCCTGTTGTTGCCGTGGTGACGTAACAGCCCCAGCAGCCCGCCCGGAGAGCCGGGGACCTCCGCCGTGGGGACCTCCGCCGTGGGGACCTCCGCCGTGGGGACCTCCGCCGTGGGGACCTCCGCCGTGGGGACACCCTCCGCCGTGGGGAGCTTTGCCGTGGGGACACCCTCCGCCGTGGGGACACCCTCCGCCGTGGGGACACCCTCCGCCGTGGGGACACCCTCCGCCGTGGGGACACCCTCCGCCGTGGGGACCTCCGCCGTGGGGCCTTTGGCAGCTCCTCTCTCCGGCGGGTGAGTCTTCGGTTCTCCCCGCGTCTCAACCCGTGTCTCACCCCGTGTCTCACACCGTGTCTCCCCCCGTGTCTCACCCCGTGTTTCACACCGTGTCTCACCCCGTGTCACACCCCGTGTCTCACCCCGTGTCTCACCCCGTGTCTCACACCGTGTCTCCCCCCGTGTCTCACCCCGTGTTTCACACCGTGTCTCACCCCGTGTCACACCCCGTGTCTCACCCCGTGTCTCACCCCGTGTCTCACACCGTGTCTCCCCCCGTGTCTCACCCCGTGTTTCACACCGTGTCTCACCCCGTGTCTCACCCCGTGTCTCACCCCGTGTCTCACCCCGTGTTTCACACCGTGTCTCACCCCGTGTCACACCCCGTGTCTCACCCCGTGTCACACCCCGTGTCTCACCCCGTGTCTCACCCCGTGTCTCACCCCGTGTCTCACCCCGTGTCTCACCCCGTGTCACACCCCGTGTCTCACCCCATGTCACACCCCGTGTCTCACCCCGTGTCACACCCCGTGTCTCACCCCGTGTCTCACCCCGTGTCTCACCCCGTGTCTCACCCCGTGTGACCCCCCGTGTCTCACCCCGTGTCTCACCCCGTGTGACCCCCCGTGTGACTCCCCGTGTCTCACCCCGTGTAACCCCCCGTGTCTCCACTCTCCCCCGCGTCTCCCCCTGTCTGTCTCCCTGTCTGTCTCCTAGTGTCTCCACTCTCCCCCATGTCTCCCCCCGTGTCTCCTCCCATCTCCCTCCCCATGTCTTTCCCAATCTCCCTCCCCGTGTCTCACCCCGTGTCTCCACTCTCCCCCGCGTCTCCCCCTGTCTGTCTCCCTGTCTGTCTCCTAGTGTCTCCACTCTCCCCCATGTCTCCCCCCGTGTCTCCTCCCATCTCCCTCCCCATGTCTTTCCCAATCTCCCTCCCCGTGTCTCACCCCGTGTCTCTCCCCGTGTCTCCACTCTCCCCCGCGTCTCCCCCTGTCTCTCCCCCTGTCTGTCTCCTAGTGTCTCACCCCGTGTCTCCCCCAGTCTCCCTCCCTGTCTGTCTCCTAGTGTCTCCACTCTCCTCCGTGTCTCCCCCAGTGTCTCCCCCCATATCTCCCCCCGTGTCTCCCCCCGTGTCTCCCCCCGTGTCTCCCCCCGTGTCTCCCCCCGTGTCTCCCCCCGGCTCTCCCCCCGTGTCTCCCCCCGTGTCTCCCCCCATATCTCCCCCCGTGTCTCCCCCCGTGTCTCCCCCCGTGTCTCCCCCCGTGTCTCCCCCCGTGTCTCCCCCCGGCTCTCCCCCCGTGTCTCCCCCCGTGTCTCCCCCCGCGTCTCAGCCCGTGTCTCACCCCGTATCTCCCCCCATCTCCCTCCCCGTGTCTCACCCCGTGTCTCCCCCCGTATCTTCCCCAGGCACTCCCCCTTAGTCTCCTGCCATGTCTCACCCCGTGTCTCACCCCATATCTCCCCCCGTGTCTCAGCCCGCGTCTCACCCTGTGTCTCCCCCCGTGTCTCCCCCCGTGTCTCCCCCCGTGTCTCACCCCGTGTCTCACCCCGTGTCTCCCCCCGTCTCTCCCCCCGTGTCTCCCCCAGTGTCTCAGCCCGTGTCTTCCCCAGTCTCCCTCCCTGTCTGTCTCCTAGTGTCTCCACTCTCCCCCATGTCTCCTTCCGTGTCTCACCCCGTGTCTCACCCCGTGTCTCACCCCGTGTCTCACCCCATATCTCCCCCCATCTCCCTCCCCGTGTCTCAGCCCGTGTCTCCCCCCGTGTCTTCTCCAGTCTCCCTCCCCGTGTCTCACCCCGTGTCTCCCCCCGTGTCCCACCCAGGGTGCTGAGTGTTGCCCTGAGGGTGACTCCCTCTCGCCGCAGCGTCTCCAGCAGAGCTCGGTTGACTTCGCGGAGACGGCCGGGAGATGCCATCACCGCCGGTGACGTGATCCGGTGACGCGATCCGGTGACGCGATCCGGTGATGCGTCCGGTGACGCGATCCTGAGACGGCAGGAGACAGACGGTACGATCAGTGACACAATCACCATCATCACCATCACCATCATCACCATCATCACCATCACCATCACCACCATCACCATCATCACCATCACCATCACCACCATCACCATCATCACCACCATCACCATCATCACCATCAACACCACCATCACCATCATCACCATCAACACCACCATCAGCACCATCACCATCGTCACCATCGTCACCACCATCACCACCATCACCATCATCACCACCATTACCACCATCACCATCATCACCACCATCACCACCATCACCATCATCACCATCATCACCACCATCACCATCATCACCACCATCACCATCATCACCACCATCACCATCATCACCACCATCACCATCATCACCACCATCACCATCATCACCACCATCACCATCATCACCACCATCACCATCATCACCATCAACACCACCATCAGCACCATCACCATCGTCACCATCGTCACCACCATCACCACCATCACCATCATCACCACCATTACCACCATCACCATCATCACCACCATCACCACCATCGCCATCATCACCACCATCACCATCATCACCATCAACACCACCATCACCATCATCACCATCAACACCACCATCAGCACCATCACCATCGTCACCATCGTCACCACCATCACCACCATCACCATCATCACCACCATTACCACCATCACCATCATCACCATCACCATCACCACCATCACCATCATCACCATCACCATCACCACCATCACCATCATCACCACCATCACCATCATCACCATCAACACCACCATCACCATCATCACCATCAACACCACCATCAGCACCATCACCATCGTCACCATCGTCACCACCATCACCACCATCACCATCATCACCACCATTACCACCATCACCACCATCACCACCATCACCATCATCACCATCATCACCACCATCACCATCATCACCACCATCACCATCATCACCACCATCACCATCATCACCACCATCACCATCATCACCAACATCACCACCATCACCACCATCACCATCATCACCACCATCACCATCATCACCACCATCACCATCATCACCATCAACACCACCATCAGCACCGTCACCATCGTCACCACCATCACCACCATCACCATCATCACCACCATTACCACCATCACCATCATCACCACCATCACCACCATCACCATCATCACCACCATCACCATCATCACCATCAACACCACCATCATCACCATCAACACCACCATCAGCACCATCACCATCGTCACCATCGTCACCACCATCACCACCATCACCATCATCACCACCATTACCACCATCACCATCATCACCATCACCATCATCACCACCATCACCATCATCCACCATCACCATCATCACCACCATCACCATCATCACCACCATCACCATCATCACCACCATCACCATCATCACCACCATCACCATCATCACCATCACCATCGTCACCATCGTCACCACCATCACCACCATCACCATCATCACCACCATCACCACCATCACCATCATCACCACCATCACCACCATCACCATCATCACCATCATCACCACCATCACCACCATCACCATCATCACCACCATCACCATCATCACCACCATCACCATCATCACCACCATCACCATCATCACCACCATCACCATCATCACCACCATCACCACCATCACCATCATCACCATCATCACCATCATCACCACCATCACCATCATCACCACCATCACCATCATCACCATCATCACCACCATCACCACCATCACCACCATCACCATCATCACCACCATCACCATCATCACCACCATCACCATCATCACCACCATCACCATCATCACCATCAACACCACCATCAGCACCATCACCATCGTCACCATCGTCACCACCATCACCACCATCACCATCATCACCACCATTACCACCATCACCATCATCACCACCATCACCATCATCACCACCATCACCATCATCACCACCATCACCACCATCACCATCATCACCATCATCACCATCATCACCACCATCACCATCATCACCATCATCACCACCATCACCATCATCACCACCATCACCATCATCACCACCATCACCATCATCACCACCATCACCATCATCACCACCATCACCATCATCACCACCATCACCATCATCACCACCATCACCATCATCACCACCATCACCATCATCACCACCATCACCACCATCACCACCATCACCACCATCACCATCATCACCACCATCACCACCATCACCACCATCACCACCATCACCATCATCACCACCATCACCACCATCAACACCATCACCATCATCACCACCATTACCACCATCACCACCCCCACCATCACCACCATCACCACCATCACCACCATCACCACCATCACCACCACCACCCCCACCACCCCCACCACCACCATCACCACCACCACCATCACCACCACCATCACCACCACCACCACCCCCCCCCCACCAGCACCACCATCACCACCATCCCCACCACCACCACCATCACCACCACCACCACCACCACCCCCCCCCCACCACCACCACCATCACCACCATCCCCACCACCACCACCCCCCCCACCACCACCACCATCACCACCATCCCCACCACCACCACCCCCACCACCACCACCCCCCCCACCACCACCACCATCACCACCATCCCCACCACCCCCCCCACCACCACCACCATCACCACCATCACCCCCACCATCACCATCACTATCACCATCACCACCAACATCACCACCATCACCACCACCACCAACATCACCACCACCACCATGATCACCAACATCTCCATGGCGGTAAACTTGGCGGGTGAAAGTTCCCTCCCCTCCCGGCAGAGGGCAGTCTGAAGCCCGAATCGAACCCACGACCTCCTGTAGACCAGGCAAGGTAGTCAACATCTCATCAGGGTCGGGATTGAACCCACGACCTCCTGTAGACCAGGCGAGGTAGTTAACATCTCATCAGGGTCGGGATCGAACCCACGACCTCCTGTGTACCAGGCGAGGTAGTAAACATCTCATCAGGGTCGGGATCGAACCCACGACCTCCTGTAGACCAGGCGAGGTAGTTAACATCTCGTCAGGGTCGGGATCGAACCCACGACCTCCTGTAGACCAGGCGAGGTAGTCAACATCTCATCAGGGTCGGGATC